GTTAGCCGCGGAAGTTGCTGCTTTTACTAAGGTTCATATGTTGCAAATGAGGAAAAGCTTGGAATACAGAGGGGCAGATTAGGAGTAACATGGAAAAAGGAATAGAAAGGGAAAAAATCATTCTAAAAAAAATTTAGAAAAAGTCGTACTTTTTTTGCTTGAAAAATCATTCTAAAATTTCACAGACTTTGAGAGGTAGAGACACACGGAAGTAACCTGAGCGTTGACACATACGAGAAACAACCATTCACTTTTAAGGATTTCAAAGGCTCTCCTCTTCCGAGGATTGCTTAATAGCAAATTATTTGGTGGTTCCTTAACATGTGCCTACCATATTTTACAATCGAAATGAATGAGTGAATCGTGGAGAGGAGCAGTTACCCTGCTGACGGAGTTGAACCTTCAATTTTTAGCATTTTGTGAGGGACTGAGAATTCTTCGTAGCAGTAATTGTATTTGCGTGAATCTGCAGAGCAAGTACGGCGTTTTTTCCTGACTATTCATTTGGCGCTGAAATTTGAGTTTTCTTGCTTAAAACCTCGAAATTTTCAACTGTTTTACTATAAAAGTAGCAGTACATCTCATGTGAATTACTTGCAGACATTGAAAGAAAATACGGAGCGTCGTTGTGATCTGGAGCAGCGCGATAGCAGATGCCCCAGTAAAAAGAACAGCGAAACACAAACGTCACCGAAAGAAGAGCGGCGATCGGGTAGCATGCGTAGCTTATCACAGGCTTTTTTTGCTCAGGTATTCTTTCCATCCTTGAAATCCAGTGGTTTTTTTCAGAAACTTGCATTCTGATGAAACTGCTATAACCTATTTACTTGATATCTGTTTGCATAAGATATAATTGAAAGTGTTTGAATTACCTGGGAACAGCTAACTCATCTTGTATTGGGCATTTGAATCTGTGATAGATTGGTAATTGGTACCACTCAGCGCTGTAGTACCATGACTGCTGAACTTAGCTTCATGCCTCTCTCCACGATATGACTTTCACTATGTTAATCCACTTTTTACAACTAATTTGTTTCATTTTTTGCCAAATGATTAGTTTGTTTCGTGGATTGTTATTTCTTGCTAAAATTTCTTTCTTTTTTTCTCAAATTTGGAAAATCGGCATACCACTCCGATCTCTCTCACTCTTTGCATCTCCTTCGTTTTCCTCCTGTTCCGTTTTTTACGTACTGTGAGAAGCAAAAGTGTTTGAAATGGGACCCGAGTATTTTCCTCAGTGTCAGTCTGTACGGAACTGTACTGGTTTAACAGCTGCGCGAAGCTAGACAGAT